TCAAATATCCGCTACTTATGTGCCATCCCCTTTTGTCCTTGATGTCCTCTAAACACGTTGCATGCTGGAAGTCAGCGCTGCTCATGCTCTTCTGTTGACCTCATGGTTCCCAAGACCCTGCGATCCACATGGAAAATTAAATAATTTAGTGCCCCAAACTTTGTAGTTGCCTCCATCAGAGAAGCGTATGGAGACATGGAGAAGAGCTTGGAGAAGTCTGGAGTCCCCTTGATCCATGCAGGTCCAGCAGCAGCGAGGAAGGGAAAATGGTAACTGGAACCAGTCTTGATTCCTCCCTCTCCCAGTGTCAGGTGGCTGGTGAATATTTGCTAACGTTCGAGCACCAAAAGGGTGATAAATTCTTCACCAGTTTGTTTCAAACCAACCCTTTCCAAGGCGTAGCTGTCAGCCAGCCACTGCATTGCTCGCAAAGCTCGGCCAAAGGAGCCCTGCGTCAAGCAAGGGAATGAATTTCTTTCCATCCCGATTCATGGAAACAACTCGTGTTTCTGCCTCGTGTGATTTCCCTGTTGTGTTTTTCCATATTTATTAGAGGGAGAGACACAACACAGCCTACAAGATCACTGCAAAACACCGGCCTCGCCAACTCTGATGCTTGCAATAAGCCTGGTTATTTAGGGCAGTGTTATTAAAAAAAATGCCTTTCAAGTCGGTAAAAATGAGCGCCTAAAATCACCCTAATGCCGAGACTCGATGCACACCAATTTAAAAAAAAAATAAAAATAATAATGTATGTCTTCATTAAGCCTGGTGCGTGTTCCCTCCCAGGCATTCTGTCTTCCTGAGATGGTTGTTTTGTTTTAACTTCCTTCATTAAAGCCTGCCTTTTTATTTTCCCGAAAGTAGGGCGCACGCTTTTCGCATGGAGGCTGGCTGCCTTCTGCTTTAACCGCGTTTATTAATAATGCAGGGGAGAATAATGCTTCGCATCCATTACTTCGGTGCCCTTATGGAGTAGAACAGCTATTTCAAAAATCCGCCTCGGAAATTAGGGGTCTCTGTGGGGATGTTGTGGGATAGGATGGAGGCTCCGATCCCCCGTTCCTGCTTCTGGGTCCTCCCTGGAGGAAACGATGCTCTGCAGAGGGAGAGCGTAGGCATCGTCTTTCCCCGCGTAAGTGCTCTGAACCATCCTCTACAAGCGCCCATCAACTATTTAGAGACATCAATGGGACCCCTAAGGTGGGTACCTTGGGGTCTGGGGGGGTGAATAGCCCATCGAGCCTTCCAAGGCTTTCTAAGACCAAATGCTCCCGCTGTTTTGAGGCACTCAAGCATGCAACGGGACTGCCGGGGGAATTAAGCTTATTGCAAATTTTGCACGAGGCTCAAGGCCGCATCCATCACAAATAAGGTTGGCAGAGGGAAGCAAGAAATAGATATACCGTATCTACTGTGTCATCTGCTTCATCCTGTCGTTGCAATTCTGTACTCCAGTTAATTCACAGTATTTTCTTCAGGCATATCAGGTTAATATTTTTTCTCTTTTCCACTTAAAATATGTCCTGAACATTACCGCGTCGGCTAGAGGTCCTTGCCGGGAGACAGCCCAGTCCCAGCACTGCAGGGACGCACGCTCGGCTCAAGTTGCTTGCCCAGTTCCCACCACTAGATTTGCCAGGGGTCCAACAGATAACGACTAAAAGCTCTTTATTTTTCAATGAACAGTGTAGGCAAGAGGCTAAACCAAATCCAGAAGACACTGGTAGGAGATAGATCTTCAGTGATACTGGATAGTCATGGCTGGATTGTAACCTCCGTGAATTGTAGCTCTTGCAAAGGCCCAGGAGATATTAACGTTCCTAGAAGCCTCATTGGTTCACCTTTTGTGTAGCTTTAAGTGATGGATTCTCTGAGGATCCCTGATTTAATGTACAGAACGTGCATGGCTATGGCAAGCTCCCAGCCATCTCGGACCCAAATTACCTTGATTTTTTGGTAGGTCTAATGTGGAGAGGAGAAACCGCAGAGGAAGGATTCATATAACAGCTAAATAAATTGTCTCATCAGTCTTGGAGATTAAAACCTTTGTGAAATCCAGAGGCAAAAATGAATTTGATTTTGAATAAAAGCCTAAGTGAAAGAG